AGTAAAATTCATGGAAAGAGGCACTGGCTGGGAAGGGAAGAGGGGGCAAATACCAGAAGAGTCTCCACGGGTTGAGTCAGCAGGCGCCCCCCAGGGTGAGAGGAGAACCAGGGAGGGTGCGCCGGTGGGAGACTGGGATCTGGGGCGGCCGGCCGCCCGGGGCCAGTGCCCAGGGGACCCTTTTCTTCCTCCCATGGGGCCCAGGCATACTGTGCCTCTGGCCAGGGAGTGCCTGCTTGTCACCCTTCCGAGTCCTGGGGAAGTCTCAGGACACTTGAGGCCAGGCCTGAATGCCCAGCCCCACAGCATGAGCCATTCTCGGGGAGCACTGTGCTCGGGGAGAACTGTTGGTAGGAGCCCCCAGCATTAGGGAAGGGGCCCTGCCTACCTGAGTCAGCGCTGGGCCTCCGGGGTGGAGGCTGTCTTCCGGGCGAACCTGGCAACACGCCTAAGGCTGAGTTTGGAGATCCCAGGTTGAAGGGCCCACTGGATAGAAGGCCCTTTCTCTTCTCCCTGGGTTCTACATTCCACCATCTGTTGAGCCCCCGAAGCGGTTCAAGTCCTGCTTCTGAGTCGAGCGTGCTTGAGTAACCTGTGTGGTCTGCCCTTGGTCCCAGATACTGTCTCACAGGGCAACCCCCTGTTCTTTCCAAAAGCTGCCTGAGAGCCATGCTGTCAACTTGCAACAGACGTGCTCAGATTTTTAGGGTCTGCCTGTGGTACGCTGTGGGCCAGAGCTTTGGGGATGTCTGGTGTTCCTACCTTACTGTGAGCAAGGAGGACAGAGGTGGAGGGAAGAGTGTGGATTTAGCGAAACCCTGGGGGCTATGGGGGGGCCCGGAAGGGCAGCCAGTCCCCAGCCCCCCACACAGTGGTGAGATCTGGGTCTGCGCTGAGTGGGCCTAGTCAGGACCGTGGAAGAGACAGACGGTCTCCATGCCCTTACCTCCACTTTAGCCTTCAGGGCGGCCACCTCACGTGGGGCCTCGGTCCAAGAAACGTTTTCTACTGGAGACTTTCTCTTTTCTCCACTCCCTTTCTCCTTTCTTCACTTCCTCCCCTGGGCTCTCCTCACCCTGCCCCCCCCCCCCCCCC